CCCTAACCCTAACCCTAACATCGAAATGAGGTGGGGCGCCATCTTGCTGGAACCATTTTTTGGCAACTTTATTACAAAAACATCAATTGACTATATAATTACTAATATGGATTTCAGATTACTTAATATAACCGTATTTGATCCAGCTATTTCTGATCATTCTGCACAAATGCTCAAATGGGATCAACATATTGGAATAGAAAAGCAAGGTGAGAAAATAACACGTAGATCATTTGGTGAAGTACAGATATCAGAATTTAAATTTTTATTAAAGAAAGTTAATATATATTTTTCGAATTCCACCACGGTTGATGAAATGTTTAACACATTTTGGAATGATTTTATGTATGCATTCAACGCCGCATTTCCATTAAAAACAATAAAAAATAGCGGGAAAAGAAATAATATTAATAAAATAAAATTGTCGTCAGAATTAGAAAAACAAATCTCTATTTTAAAACATGCAAACTGGATTAGGAAAACAACTAATGCTATAAGTAATGAAGAGTATAACTTAAAGAAAAAAATCGTAAATTCTCAAATTAAAAATGAAAAGCAGGCTCATTTCTGTAGCATAATAAATAATTCAGGAAATAAATCAAAAACAATTTGGCAACTAGTCAACACTAAATTAGGAAAAGATAAAAAAGATACAATCCCAGAAAAACTTAAACATGACGAAAAACTCTACGAAGGCAAAAAAGAGGTGAGTAATGGTTTTGCTATATTTCTTGTTGATTCGGTTTTATCGATATTGCCACCTGAAACTGATACTGTTTGTACACTAACAAAAAAAACACCGTGTGACTCATTTTATTTTAGGCCAATGTTAGATATTGAAATTGTGGATGTAATAAACAGTTTGAAAAATAAAAAGTCTACAGGTTTTGACGATATACCTGTATTTCTCTTGAAAGAATGTGCAGATCAGCTTACCAAAATAATAAACAAATCAGTAACGTCTGGTAAATTTCCTGATATACTAAAAGTATCAAAGGTCGTACCTATCTATAAAAAAGGGCCAACTAACATTCTTTCAAATTATAGAGGTATATCCATCCTCAGTGTCGTTGCAAAAACTCTTGAAAAGGCTATTTTTAATTCCATTATCTCATATCTGGATAATAATAATATTATAACAAGCAAACAGCATGGATTTCGACGTGGATATTCATGCGAAACTGCCACAGTAGAATTTACCCAAATAATTCACGACAAAATTGATAAAAACTTGTACACTTACGGTGTATTTTTTGACTTATCGCGAGCTTTCGATTGTTTGGACCCAAACATCTTATGTCAAAAATTAAATGCAGTCGGTATAAGAGACCCTGTAAATTCATGGGTAAATTCATATATTTTAAGTCGTCCGTTTTTTGTTTCAGTTGATAATATCCAGTCTGATATATTTTATAATGACCTAGGAACCCCTCAAGGGGGAGTACTAGGTCTATTACTTTTTCTACTGTACGTTAACGATATGCCTGAATATTTTAAAGACCAGGATGATATGTTTATTTATGCTGACGACACAACAGTAATAGTATCTGCCGATTCTTTAGGACAGGTAGTAGAAAAAGTTAAAAATATTATTATGGCATTTAAAGAATGGTGTGACTGTAATAGATTGGTTTTAAACTTGGAAAAAACAATTTGTGTTAATTTTTCCTACGGCGACAGAAAATTTGTCCAATCACCCTTTGATGTAAATATCAACAAAGTTAATGTATTAGTAAATTCAGCAAATAAACTAAATTTCTTGGGACACTTGTCGATTGTAATCTAAACTTCAGAGAACAAATAGATAATATTTGCAAAAATCTAAATAAAAGCTATTTTATGTTGTATTCACTTAAAAATGATATGCCAAAGGAATCTTTAATAACAATTTACTATGCCCATGTATATTCAACCCTTAACTACAACATTACTGTTTGGGGACAGGCGTCAGATATCTCTCGCGTATTTATTATTCAAAAACGAATATTACGGTTAATTTTTAGTTTGGGTTACAGGGATAGTTGTCGAGAAATATTTAAAAATAATAAAATTCTTACTGTTACAGCAATATACATCTATAAATTATTGTCTTTTACTTTTAATAAAATAAGAAATCTCATAATGAAAAAAGATATACACGGGTATAATACCAGAAATGCTGAAAATATATATTTAAAACAACATTACCATACCAGCTACAAAAAATCACCATACTACGCCGGTTCTTACCTCTTTAACAAACTGCCATCAAACATAAAAAATAATCAAACCCTACAAGGCTTCCAGAAAGATCTTAAGCAGCTATTAACAGTGAATGTTTTCTATTCATTAGATGAGTTCCTACAGTATACGGTTGCTTAGCTGATATATGAGATTTTTATAGATTTTTATATTGTACTGTGTTGCATTGTTACTTTGTTCATTTTATTTATTTATTTATTTATGTATGACTTACCTTATTCATATTTTGTAGATGTGGCTTCAAAGGTCAATAAATATTATTATTATTATTATTATTATTATTATTATTATTATTATTATTATTATTATTATTATTATTATATTTCCTCTGACAATTGTAAATGATTTGCACGACTGGGAAATATACGGATTAATTCTTGAACTATTTGTTCTCGCAGAAGTTGTAAATAGCGATCACTGTTTAAAGTTTGTCTCAGAAAAAAAGGTCCAATTATTCTTCCTCCAAATGTTTAGCTTTTGTGGATATTGTGTGTGACCTTCTATCATTCAGTGTATATTCTGATTAGACCGACCAATACCGGCAATTATGCCGATTGACAAATCCGTTTAGACAAAACGTTGATTCGTCGGAAAACACAATATTATTCATAATATTGTTCCCATTAATTCGATCCATCATTTCTTGGTAAAACTGCATTCGTCGATCAGGATCATCTTCATTTAATTCTTGATGTAATTGAACTTTATACGGATGAAAATGATTTTTTTATCAGTATCCTTCTTACAGAACTCTGGCTAATATCAATATTTAATGCAAGTTTTGCTATGGAAGTTTAAAGTTCTTCATGAACATTTAGAAGTAAATCAAATGATTTCTCCTCATTTGTAGCTGTCCTCTTTCGTCCACTACCAGGAATATTTTTGACACTACCTGTTTCATTAAACTTGCGTAAATTTCGACACACTGTCGACTTAGAAATTAGAGACATTCTGTCAGGAAATGTAGCATTAAACAAATCGGCAGCTTCTTGTAAACCTCTATTTCTATCTCCAAAACCAACCATCATCAACAGTGTAATTCTTTCACGTTAACTTAGTTCCATTGTTAGTAATAATAATCAAATACTTAATCTGTACACTAAAGATATTTGTATTTACTGTGATTTGACGTTAAGATTTTTTGTTAATAGATCATGATATTGCCAGGAAACCGAAAAAAAAATATAAATACAGGGTGATCCATTTAAAATATTTAAAATGTGTCTTATTAAAGTATAATCTAATTTAATTGTTATTAATAAGACCGTAAGTCTGGGACCCACTTAATGTACCATTGATGAAATCAGACAGATCACACAAACTCGAAAAAAAATATAAATACAGGATGATCCATTTAAAATATTGCCCGATGACGTCATATCTTGAAAATCATTACGTATGCGGGAAGTCTGTAAATAGTACATAAAATGTACAAAAACTTTTATCCAAGTCAAATTATCGTACAAGTCATAGTTAAGCCATAAATCAAGTGTTCCGCCCATATAGAATGACCCTGTATATAAGACAAGTATTTTCTTAAATGTTTTAGCACAAGTAGTTAATTGTTTATTATATACCACACATTTCAGTCCATGTTCTTTCGTTGCATTTATATAGACATATGGCATGCAGACAAAGGCCAAATTTCAATAGATACTACCTATAACACTTAACAGATGGTTCCGTTTATCAATAGATGGAAACGTCTTCTGTCGTGTCTGCTATAGAGAAAATGCAGATGCAGATTATAAACATATATACGAAATTGACCAAGTATGTCATGTATTCAGGACAAATACGTATACCTACCTATCAATGTTTGCGTGATTAATAAATTAAATTTTAGTATCTGATTATCGTTAATAATAATTGAAATCAATAGTTTTCAATTAAGCGAAAGTCAAAATTCGTGTTTAACGGTATATTCATTGGATTTTTGAGTGAATAAATTTATTGTGTTAAAAAGTTTCTCATATCGACTGTTTGTTTGGCTGAAGTGGAGATAAGTATGTACATATATTTAAATACGAGGGTAGTTTAAGGTTAATCTGAAATTTTGTTTTTAATCTTTATTGAATCAAAACCTTTAGTAAACAACATATACTACTTTTCAACATACCCATCATCTAATTGTATACACCTTTTGCCCATCTTCTTGTGAGCTTCATAATACCTTTTTTATCAAAAAAATTTGGTTGTGTAGCAAGCCAGTTTTGCACAAACATCTTCACTTCATCAGTCTTCAAACTTTAAGCCACCCAAAGCTTCTTTAAGAGATCCAGACAAATGAAAATCGCAGGGTGGCAAGTTAGAATTATAACTTAATGTTTTCCAATGCAATTTACCAAATGTGTCTCGATTTAATTTTGCGCTATGTGGTCGGGCTTTATCTTGGAAAAGAATCACGTCTCTGTTTGATCAGTTCTGTTTTTTTCTTTTAATCAAAAAGCCGTATTAAATTCCTGCACCAGTGAAATACTTGGGACTTAAAAAGGGTATATTTTCCATATTGTTGACAAATAGTGGCGGAGCTTATAGGGAGCCAAGGGCAACGCCCCCCTCTTCCAAGTCATTTGTGCTTAGAGCACCTTTAGCGCCTCGTTATCTCTTGTTCTCTTGTTCTCTCGTTATCTCGTTATCTCGTTATCTCGTTATCTCGTTATCTCGTTATCTCGTTATCTCGTTATCTCTTGTTCTCTTGTTCTCTCGTTATCTCGTTATCTCGTTATCTCGTTATCTCTTGTTCTCTCGTTCTCTCGTTATCTCGTTATCTCTTGTTCTCTCGTTGTCTCGTTCTCTTGTTCTCTTGTTCTCTTGTTCTCTTGTTCTCTTGTTCTCTTGTTCTCTTGTTCTCTTGTTCTCTTGTTCTCTTGTTCTCTTGTTCTCTTGTTCTCTTGTTCTCTTGTTCTCTTGTTCTCTTGTTCTCTTGTTCTCTTGTTCTCTTGTTCTCTTGTTCTCTTGTTCTCTTGTTCTCTTGTTCTCTTGTTCTCTTGTTCTCTTGTTCTCTTGTTCTCTTGTTCTCTTGTTCTCTTGTTCTCTTGTTCTCTTGTTCTCTTGTTCTCTTGTTCTCTTGTTCTCTTGTTCTCTTGTTCTCTTGTTCTCTTGTTCTCTTGTTCTCTTGTTCTCTTGTTCTCTTGTTCTCTTGTTCTCTTGTTCTCTTGTTCTCTTGTTCTCTTGTTCTCTTGTTCTCTTGTTCTCTTGTTCTCTTGTTCTCTTGTTCTCTTGTTCTCTTGTTCTCTTGTTCTCTTGTTCTCTTGTTCTCTTGTTCTCTTGTTCTCTTGTTCTCTTGTTCTCTTGTTCTCTTGTTCTCTTGTTCTCTTGTTCTCTTGTTCTCTTGTTCTCTTGTTCTCTTGTTCTCTTGTTATCTTGTTCTCTTGTTCTCTTGTTCTCTTGTTCTCTTGTTCTCTTGTTCTCTTGTTCTCTTGTTCTCTTGTTATCTTGTTATCTTGTTCTCTTGTTCTCTTGTTCTCTTGTTCTCTTGTTCTCTTGTTCTCTTGTTCTCTTGTTCTCTTGTTCTCTTGTTCTCTTGTTCTCTTGTTCTCTTGTTCTCTTGTTCTCTTGTTCTCTTGTTCTCTTGTTCTCTTGTTCTCTTGTTCTCTTGTTCTCTTGTTCTCTTGTTCTCTTGTTCTCTTGTTCTCTTGTTCTCTTGTTCTCTTGTTCTCTTGTTCTCTTGTTCTCTTGTTCTCTTGTTCTCTTGTTCTCTTGTTCTCTTGTTCTCTTGTTCTCTTGTTCTCTTGTTCTCTTGTTCTCTTGTTCTCTTGTTCTCTTGTTCTCTTGTTCTCTTGTTCTCTTGTTCTCTTGTTCTCTTGTTCTCTTGTTCTCTTGTTCTCTTGTTCTCTTGTTCTCTTGTTCTCTTGTTCTCTTGTTCTCTTGTTCTCTTGTTCTCTTGTTCTCTTGTTCTCTTGTTCTCTTGTTCTCTTGTTCTCTTGTTCTCTTGTTCTCTTGTTCTCTTGTTCTCTTGTTCTCTTGTTCTCTTGTTCTCTTGTTCTCTTGTTCTCTTGTTCTCTTGTTCTCTTGTTCTCTTGTTCTCTTGTTCTCTTGTTCTCTTGTTCTCTTGTTCTCTTGTTCTCTTGTTCTCTTGTTCTCTTGTTCTCTTGTTCTCTTGTTCTCTTGTTCTCTTGTTCTCTTGTTCTCTTGTTCTCTTGTTCTCTTGTTCTCTTGTTCTCTTGTTCTCTTGTTCTCTTGTTCTCTTGTTCTCTTGTTCTCTTGTTCTCTTGTTCTCTTGTTCTCTTGTTCTCTGTTCTCTTGTTCTCTTGTTCTCTTGTTCTCTTGTTCTCTTGTTCTCTTGTTCTCTTGTTCTCTTGTTCTCTTGTTCTCTTGTTCTCTTGTTCTCTTGTTCTCTTGTTCTCTTGTTCTCTTGTTCTCTTGTTCTCTTGTTCTCTTGTTCTCTTGTTCTCTTGTTCTCTTGTTCTCTTGTTCTCTTGTTCTCTTGTTCTCTTGTTCTCTTGTTCTCTTGTTCTCTTGTTCTCTTGTTCTCTTGTTCTCTTGTTCTCTTGTTCTCTTGTTCTCTTGTTCTCTTGTTCTCTTGTTCTCTTGTTCTCTTGTTCTCTTGTTCTCTTGTTCTCTTGTTCTCTTGTTCTCTTGTTCTCTTGTTCTCTTGTTCTCTTGTTCTCTTGTTCTCTTGTTCTCTTGTTCTCTTGTTCTCTTGTTCTCTTGTTCTCTTGTTCTCTTGTTCTCTTGTTCTCTTGTTCTCTTGTTCTCTTGTTCTCTTGTTCTCTTGTTCTCTTGTTCTCTTGTTCTCTTGTTCTCTTGTTCTCTTGTTCTCTTGTTCTCTTGTTCTCTTGTTCTCTTGTTCTCTTGTTCTCTTGTTCTCTTGTTCTCTTGTTCTCTTGTTCTCTTGTTCTCTTGTTCTCTTGTTCTCTTGTTCTCTTGTTCTCTTGTTCTCTTGTTCTCTTGTTCTCTTGTTCTCTTGTTCTCTTGTTCTCTTGTTCTCTTGTTCTCTTTGTTCTCTTGTTCTCTTGTTCTCTTGTTCTCTTGTTCTCTTGTTCTCTTGTTCTCTTGTTCTCTTGTTCTCTTGTTCTCTTGTTCTCTTGTTCTCTTGTTCTCTTGTTCTCTTGTTCTCTTGTTCTCTTGTTCTCTTGTTCTCTTGTTCTCTTGTTCTCTTGTTCTCTTGTTCTCTTGTTCTCTTGTTCTCTTGTTCTCTTGTTCTCTTGTTCTCTTGTTCTCTTGTTCTCTTGTTCTCTTGTTCTCTTGTTCTCTTGTTCTCTTGTTCTCTTGTTCTCTTGTTCTCTTGTTCTCTTGTTCTCTTGTTCTCTTGTTCTCTTGTTCTCTTGTTCTCTTGTTCTCTTGTTCTCTTGTTCTCTTGTTCTCTTGTTCTCTTGTTCTCTTGTTCTCTTGTTCTCTTGTTCTCTTGTTCTCTTGTTCTCTTGTTCTCTTGTTCTCTTGTTCTCTTGTTCTCTTGTTCTCTTGTTCTCTTGTTCTCTTGTTCTCTTGTTCTCTTGTTCTCTTGTTCTCTTGTTCTCTTGTTCTCTTGTTCTCTTGTTCTCTTGTTCTCTTGTTCTCTTGTTCTCTTGTTCTCTTGTTCTCTTGTTCTCTTGTTCTCTTGTTCTCTTGTTCTCTTGTTCTCTATTTAATTTTATGTACTTTTTATAATAGTGTTGCGTGAAATGTGCAAATCAAATTGTAGACGTAGGTGTATACATGTACAATAAATTCATCTGCCCTCTTGCAACAATTTACCTACTCCTTTCTACCAGTAATAGATACCAAATCAGTGTCCTTGTGAAAGTAGTAAAAAGTATTATTTGTTTGTTTCTTTTTAAAATTAAGCTACTTATTTTTGCACGCAGCAATAACTCCATACTCTAATACTTTCGATACCGTCTCTAAATCAGTTAAATAACTTAAAATAATGATTCTAGCAAGACATAACTCGAATTTACCTTAAATATAATAAAAATCCAAGTATTCAACAGAGTCTATTGTTTTAAGAATTTATGATAAATGGAATTAGTCTATCCTGTTTAAATAGTATACAGGGTATACCTAAACGCGAAAACTTTGGATGGTACTCTGGTAAAATTTAAGTCGGAATCTTGAATCTTTTAGTGATGAGATAGTGTGTTAGGAAACGTAATTCAGCATACTTTTCATCCATAGGTAATTTGATTTTTCGCAGAAAATCACATATTTAAACCAAAATATCTCAGTAAGTAATCTAATTTGTATTTTTTTTATTTTGGATATGTTCAAAAAAAGTGTGCTCTTTCATAATCCTTCATTATACTCATATACACAGTGTCAGTTAAAATATTGACGTAAGGGTATTTTGTTGCGAACTGGGGCGGCATAGTTGAATGAAAAGTATGTGGAAATCCGTCCCACCGCGTGGTTTCATTACCCAAAAATTTTACCAAAAAAAGCCATCCGAAGTTTTAGCGCGGTCACCCGGTGTAATCCTTGTTCGTAAACATCCCATTTTATGGATTTTACATTAAATTTGTCCTGATACACTGACACTACATAACCAACCATTGCTTTCAGCTTAGCCGAATAACATTAGACTAGCAAAAAAAATGTTTAATCAAAATGTACATAAAACCTTTAAATTTTGGTAAAGGTGGGCCCCCGAAACCCCAACGAGCCTACAGAAACGGGGCGCACCGGTCCAGTGATGGCCCTCCAGATCGATTCGCCCCATTCCAAAGGCCTGCCAATCCCCCATACAGTATACCAGGTGGGTCAATAAGACCTTCGTAGTCTATCAAGTTGGATTCTTTCAAAAATATATAATAACTTAATTATTCTTTATTAAGAAGTAGAAATTTCATAGTTCATTGAATGGGTAGACATAGTTATTGCCTAAGGATTACTGCGGAAAGAGTGAAGGTATTTATTTTTAATTCTCATTTCCCAAAAATAAATTTAAAAATTTTCGTCTCCTGCCAAAAAAATGTACTTTAATATTATCAATAAAAATATATTTTATTTGAATGAAAACAGAAAACATAATCAACAAGTTGAATTTTTCTATATTGTACCTATATACCTTAAATGACACATGAGCTGCTGTTACGTTTTCGACTCAGACCACAAAAATCAAGACTCAAGACGTGAATCAGCTACATTTTCTAAACTTTTTTATTTCAGTTTACTTTTTAATAATTTTTCTATTGTAAAATAGTCATCCATAACCCACACATGTACATCAAATTTGAATGCAAGCATTTTCAAATACAAATACTAATACTGTAAAACCGCACTTTGCTCTGCTTTACACTGACACTAACTCTTTGGGGTCTCTCCTTGTAAGTGTTCTTCTCTGGTTGGCATTGCCGAAGAGCTGAATGGTCCCAACGTTTACTTTGTCTAAGAGTCGTTGTTTATGAGTCTTGGCAAACTTCTTTTTAGAAAGTACCATGCGGCATTGACTATGCCTCTCAGTACTTTATTTTAGAGACTTCTTATGGTCTGAATGTTGTTCTCTCTGATACAGCCGCAAAGCTTAAAACCGTAGCTCTATATTGGTTTCAGGGTTTGTTTGTATTTATATAACAGCAATTTATGGAATATGGATTTACCTCCAAGTGTTTATTACATTTTTTTTTTAAATTGATTGCCAACTTTTCTCCATTGTTTTACATGAGACTTCAAACTTAGCGTCTAGAGTAATACCCAAATACCTTGCTGCATTTCCATAAGTTATTTGGGCATTATTTAATCTAATAGATTGATGTTCTCTCTTATTGGTAAAGTTTATATGAACCAACTTCGTTTCATTCAACTTGATTCTCCATCTTCTAGTCCAGATGTTGTAATTTGGTTGCAGTTTCTTTATGTTTTTGGCATGTAGCAAGTATAGCCGTGTCATGAGCAAACACGGCTATGGTATTATATTCTGGGGTTGAGATGTCACTAATAATAGGTACAGAAATGGTCCTAATAAACACATTTGATTTTTCTCAATGTGGAATAAATCTTCTTCTTGCTTTGTTCTGAAGACTCTTTCTGATATACAGGAATCTGTTTATAATACTGTTTAGACATCTTATTTTGTATTTTAGCCCTTCATGTCACATTTTGTAAAAAGCATGTGCTATATCTAGAAAGATTGTATAACATACTGTTTTCTCTTTTAGTGCCTTTTCTATGAGGTTAGTTATTCTATGTATCTGTCCTTTCTCTGAATCTAAACTAGTAGTATAAGTTTTATTTATTCTATTATTGGTTTTAATCTTTTCAGTAAAATGTCTCGAGTTTGGACATTACAGGTAATAATGAAATTGGACTTTAAGAAGAAGCTTTTTGAGGTATTTTGCCTAATTTTGGTATCAATATTACCTCTGCAACTTTCCATATCTTATTTGCTTTATTCGTCATACAGCATTTATCAGATGCTTTAGTTTTATTATGCCTTTCTGTAGAAATTATTTTGATTTCTCCAGTGATCAAGTCAAACCCAGTGGCTTTCATTGGGTGTATATTATGCTTTATTTCAAAAGATACCTCATACAAGTTTATCCCTAATTCTTCTTGATTGAAATAAATTATTCTTCTTATTTCAGCTCATTCGTTCGGTTGGAATATACTTTCTAATCTACATTTCTAATTGATGAGTTATGTATGGAATAATATACCCTTCTAAATGATAATTGCTCTATTTAAATTATGTATTACTTTACTCTAGTTTTATCCACCGGTGCCTTAGATTGTTACTGTTTGCGTCTCAGTTTTATTTTCTATTTTACAAGATTTTGTTGATAATTTTTTTTATTTTGTTGGAAATAAATTGAAATACAACAAATTTACAACGACTCTTATTTCTGAGGGCGTATCCATATTTTATTCTTCGTTACTAGACATTTTTGTTAAAAACTTACTTTATTTTTTATACCTATTTAAATAAACTATAATTAAATTGATTTAACAAAAGCACAATGACGTGACACCAATTGTTCAATTGTTATGAAGAATATATCTATTCTTATATATGACAGCTATAAGAAAAATTAGAAATATATAATTTTCTAAGCATTTTTTTAATATACAAGCACATTTAAGTAAAAAATAATGTATATGAAACACGGACTAAAAGCAATTTTTCGGAATTGTCACGCTCGACTTCGTCTGGAAAAGTTCCCGTAGTCGCCTAAAAAACTTAACTTTTTGTGTTATTGTTACATAGATTAGATTTGAAAGCAGTTGTATATTATTTGTCCTTGTCCATCGCGAACTTTTCAGATCTATTGTGGAAATCCGTTATTTAGAGTATGTCGTCTAGGTTGGTATTTTCATTAAATTTAGTATCTCTCACCTACTGTTAGAAACTCAATCTTCTCAGGCCTTCACACTGGTACAGAACGTGGATTGATGTTTTCTCTTCTTTTTTACAGAACCTGCATAATGTTGCTTCTTATATTGAATTGACAATCTACCTTCCTAGGCGACAGTGTTCGGTAAGAAGACCTACTATTAATCTAAGGATTGGTTATTTTTGATTCAAGAGGTCTTTTGTGGACTTGGCCGACTATTCCTTAATAAACTCTTTGGCCTATCTCAATCATGAATAGTTGTTCCATAATTCCTAAGACTCTTTTAGTATCCATTGTTTGATGGATGCCTTGCACAATACCTTAGCGTCTCCACAAAAGGGTTAAAGAACTGTTATGGCCTTATCTGAGGCTTCTCAGGCTAGTTCGTAGGCAGTTTTTCACCAGTTGTCCTCTTAATCTTACCTACTATAAGGTTATTAGGAGTTTCATCCATGCTACCAAGTACTTTATTTGGCAATTTTAAAAATTACATATTGTTAATTTTTAAGACCATAATAGTGATTTTCATACTAATTTTGATAGTGCAGTGCTTGTCCTATTATTGGATTTCCGACATGCCTTCGAATAGTTACTGCTATCTGCTTTTGTCATTTCGGTTTTCCTAATTGAAGTGGAGGACTACTAAGTAGCAAAGTTTTCTTTGATACTTGTTGCTGGGTTTGTTAGAATATTCGTTGTTTTCTCATCAGTGCTTAATACTCTTTTAACTAGCTCGTGTTGAAACTATGAGCAGATGAAGATTTGATCTTTGGTATCACCTAGTGCTAAATTATCTTATACCCTAGATAAATCTACCTAGTCTAAGAGATAAATAGACTCGCTATCTCGTTCTGTCTAATGCGACAGCTCTGATACAAAACACAATTTAAATGCTTGCAATAAATAAGGGCTTATTTATAATTGAATGGATTAATCTAGTAGTGTTTCGCCGTTGCTAATTTCTTACTTTTACATGTTAATTTAGAATATTTTATGAATAATCTTTCTGTAGAAGACATTTTTTTCTATTACTATTATTATATACCTGAATTAAATAAAATGTCTACAATATTCCATATTGGAATGACTTCTGTTTTAGTATAGAATTTATAGTTCAAACGGTATTACTGGATGAAGAGGCACTATCGAATCGCTTGTCTTGTCTGGCACATGACCTTTATTCATCAGTAAATAATAATATGGTAAAAGGCCTGCAATTTCCAGTTAACTTCCCATCTATAGGCTATTAATTACCGATACCAATTTACTTAAGACATTAAAGCAAAAATAGAGGTCATAGTGACCTATATATTCCGGCCTTTTAATTATAAAAGTTAAATGGCCTTCATTGATAAGTAACAGTTATTTGGATTTTTATTCCCCCACACAAAATGTTTGTGGGCACCAATTAGTACAATTAGAAAAATAATATCTAATGGCTGCGGGTAATTTAAACAAGAAACCAATACCAATCTCTTTTGTAATCAAATCGACAACCATCCTTTAGTTGATTTTTTGTCACCCAAAAACTTTTTTTTTATTTTAATACCATTGATTTATTATTATTTTGAAAGAATCCAATTTCCTTCATCAACAAGCAATGGATAAAAAAGTTTTGCATGGACGTTTCACTTTTTAACTAGTATTTTTTGTAGTGCTTATACGTAGATGTAGATTTTTTCAAAAATATTTTTACCAAGAGTTAGCGTTCGTTAATCGTAACCTAACCAATGTATAGATTACACGTGCATGAATACCTTTAATCGAAGATCACCCAGCTTTATATTAGTCCCTTCTCCGACTGCGAAAGTTCGCTTGATTGCCCGAACAAGTTTTTTCTATGTCCGAGCAGTAGGAGCAGTCACGTGACCTGCCAAATTCTAACTAAAGTTGCGCATGGATGGACTTAAGCTCTTTTGTCCCTAATTAATTTAATGCTTCAATACGGGAATTTTCTGTCATTCAAATTTGCTACTTATGATGTAGTGGTAAGGGAGCCAGTATTTTTTTTTGTACACATTTGCACGAGGCTCATTTATACATTTTTTGTTCATTCTTGTAAAATATGTAAATAATTTGCTGCAGATGCACAAGTGGTGAATCGTTCGATGACGGAGTCTTAAAAAAAGGTATTTTTATACCGGTTCAGAAAAGTACAAATTAAATAGCAAAAAGATTATTGATTGCTTAACTGCAGGAGTTATATTATGATAAATAAAATTTATTTACTTCCAAGTATTACTAAGTAAGAACTAACGAAAAATATTTAAATTAACATTGAGCAAATAACACTCTAAAAGTATCACTGCCTCTCCTACTATAGGAATTCCGGCCACGTGACCAGATGTTTATTAATTTTTTCAACGTACCGCGGTTTTTCCGAATCTGAGATATTATTCAGGATATTTTATTATGGGAAGAAAAAAATAAAAAGTAGTAACGAAATGTATTTGCTCTCAAAACGATTGTATAACACACAACTAAGAGTATTGCCCTTGTGGACATTTTTTTGGTTAATAGTTTACTCCATTTTGCCTTTATTCACCTCGAGTTTTCGTCAAAAAATGTGAAAATGGGCTAATTTAGTGCCACTCCCTTTTTTTCTTGTAGGGGCAAGTTATTTTACGCACACCCTGCTCTATCTTCAGTTGACTAATGTAAAACTCCAGATTTCTAATACCCACTAAAAACCCATTCTTTTTTTTGAGTTCAGAAAACATCGAAAAGTTAAGAAGACGCTGGGAATGTTGCCCAGTGGTGTTGGATTCTCGGAGAACGAACAAGATGGGCCTGGATAGATATCCCTCTTAATCTTTTTTACAGTAGGTATATATAAATTATGGGCCGGACTATCATCTTTCTGACAATTATGTATACAATTCTGATATATAATATTGGTTTAGTTTTTGGGTAAATCTTCCAAACGTGCCATATTCTGTCAACTGGAGTTTTTTACCATTTCGTGCAGCACTGTGTTCTCCTTTAAGGGTTTCCGACAGGTTCTTCTTAATTAGACTTGGATATTAGCCAATCAAACTTGAGTTCCACCATGCCTTCCCTCATCTGGGATTTGTATGGCGGCACTGCAACTTCACGGGCTTATTGTACTACCCTAGTCCTACCAATTCATTTAAGTCATGCATTCTACATTCCTCCATCTAGATGGAGCTCTACGAGTTCGATGCAGTTTTTTCTGCCTGGTGATTGTTATGCCTTTCACAGTCTGCCAGCAATCCCGCTTGGTGAATGGTATAAAACCAATTGAATTAAAAATGCCTGCATATACTCATATTTTATGAGTCATATAAACACCCTGTATATACAATAAAATTATTTTACAGCTGGCTGCCATTGAAAAAAAAATCAGTGACTTCGTTTATGATTTAAATGGAAAAGTGAATAGGTACCTATATTTTAAACTTTAGATTTCCTGCGTTAAGAGGTTTCAAATTATTAATTAAAAATATTTAATCCAAATCGTTTGTTTCATTTTTATCAAATTAAGTTTAATATTTTTTATAAAAAGTTAAATTTTCATGATACAAATTTTAGTTTAGTATTAAAGTTTATTGTAAAAATTTACCTTAAAACGAGAAATAACAACTTTTTTCTTTTTTTTTATAAAGTTTTGATTAATGACCAGTTCCCGTTTTTGACCATTCAAAACTCCCTAATATTTGTAAAAAAATGTTTTTTTATCGCTAAAAAATTTTAAACGCCACTGCAGAATAAATTCCCATCATCAGCAAGTGGTTGGACTATTCTGCATCTAAATTTTAAGTCTCCATCAATATTATTTGTCAAGCTATAGATATTTCATTGAGAGAAAAAAACACAAAAATCCGTCGATGGGAAATTTTATTTTAAATTATACAGGATTCATGAGCGTTCGCACCGCCCGGACATAGTACAACTTGTTTACCCCCGTATTCAACTACAAAGAACGGGTAAAAAGGATGTGCCATTTTTCGTTGTCAGATAATTTTAAAAATTGGCTGTCAAAATCTGCCCTCGACAGGGGTTGCAAACAAGAAGATGAGACCATCGGCATATCCTCTACGATTTCCCGACGCTCTCAGTAATAACTAATAGAAGATATAAGAGAAGCACCTCTTGCCACGGGTTAGCCCACCCTCGACACGTTACACATACAGATACAGAAGAGAAACATTTACTAAAAAAATTATTTACCGATGTTTATTACCCTATCAAAGAATATTAACTTAAGGTTTATGCTACCTTCATTAACAAAATTTTAATTTTGTTCCTATTATAATTGATTATTAAATTTTTATGACTTTATATACTTATATATACTAGTTTATTTAATCTACAATAACATATTTCTCAGATGGATACATGTCTTCACCAGAGAGAAGTTCACGTTACGAGGATCCATATTACAGTCAATATGCTACGAGATCCGGCTCAATAACACCTGTAATAGATGAAGAAGTTAGGTAAGCATTAGTAAAAATATCATTTTATTGCCCTTTATATAGTAACCTTTTTTAAACAGAATAATTATATGAAACAGACAAAACAGATAACGCAGACAATGCAGATAATGCAGACAAAACAGACAAAACAGACAAAACAGACAAAACAGACAAAACAGACAAAACAGACAAAACAGACAAAACAGACAAAACAGACAAAACAGACAAAACAGACAAAACAGACAAAACAGACAAAACAGACAAAACAGACAAAACAGACAAAACAGACAAAACAGACAAAACAGACAAAACAGACAAAACAGAAAAAACAGACAAAACAGACAAAACAGACAAAACAGACAAAACAGACAAAACAGACAAAACAGACAAAACAGACAAAACAGACAAAACAGACAAAACAGACAAAACAGACAAAACAGACAAAACAGACAAAACAGACAAAACAGACAAAACAGACAAAACAGACAAAACAGACAAAACAGACAAAACAGACAAAACAGACAAAACAGACAAAACAAACAAAACAGACAAAACAGACAAAACAGACAAAACAGACAAAACAGACAAAACAGACAAAACAGACAAAACAGACAAAACAGACAAAACAGACAAAACAGACAAAACAGACAAAACAGACAAAACAGACAAAACAGACAAAACAGACAAAACAGACAAAACAGACAAAACAGACAAAACAGACAAAACAGACAAAACAGACAAAACAGACAAAACAGACAAAACAGACAAAACAGACAAAACAGACAAAACAGACAAAACAGACAAAACAGACAAAACAGACAAAACAGACAAAACAGACAAAACAGACAAAACAGACAAAACAGACAAAACAGACAAAACAGACAAAACAGACAAAACAGACAAAACAGACAAAACAGACAAAACAGACAAAACAGACAAAACAGACAAAACAGACAAAACAGACAAAACAGACAAAACAGACAAAACAGACAAAACAGACAAAACAGACAAAACAGACAAAACAGACAAAACAGACAAAACAGACAAAACAGACAAAACAGACAAAACAGACAAAACAGACAAAACAGACAAAACAGACAAAACAGACAAAATAGACAAAATAGACAAAACAGACAAAATAGACAAAACCGGCAATAGAGATAAATAAAAACTTTTGGTTTTGGAATTTTCAAAATTAATAATAAACTAAAAAGTGCTAAATCTGGTTTTTCCATGCTAATAAATTTTGCTGCAAAATATTTTAAATTTTTGAGAACAAAATAAATGATCATATAGGTATTAACTAAACAAAAAGTAAAACTTAGACCAACAGCTGCAGAATTTAATGCGACTTCACTATAAAACAATACAAGCAATGAAATAATCTATAAAAATAAAAAATGTTAGATCATCCATTCAAACAACAATTTATTAAAGTTCTTTTTTTTGATAAACTAATTTCAATAGAGGACTTCTATGTAAGGACAATGTAAAATGCAACCAACGTAACAAAATAAAATTGACACTAATAATATAAGAAATCGGGTCACATAAATAAATGTTTAAAAACAGCTAAATAAAAATAATAATGTTAGGTTGGTTGCATTGTCCTCATATAGAAGTCCTCTATTTCTTATATTAAATATGTCAATTTAATTATCTAAACTTTCGTTTTCATCCAAATCAATTTTGCAAAACACACAGATAAAATTGATGTTAATGGAGTTTAATTTTTTAACGCTCATTCTTGAGGAATTCGTTTAAACTGTAGTTTAGATTAACTAAACATAGTTTACATGATGATGTAAACTAAATTTTATTTAAATGTGGAATTATTAATTTAAACTAAGTTTAAGAAAACGATGAAATCGGTGCGATAAAAACTAATATAAGTCAAAACTATGAAGACTAGTCTTCATATTCAAAACTTTTATACATGACAACCAGTGAGGGTTGTGTGATGACAACTGTCACAACTATCAAAGCTAACTTTATAGTTTCTGATGAATAAAAGTTATTGGGTCCTATGATTGAACGTTTACGTTATCCGTAACGTACATGTTAGGCCGAGTTTTAACAGCAACGAGACAAATTCGTATGATGTAAAGTTTTTCATAACACGTTACTGTTATTTTCCACCTGTTATGTTCTAATTTAACGTATCGCCTCAACAGCCTCGAATAACATGCCGTTAAGTGTCCAACGTCTATGTGTTACCACTTTATTTGTTTATTATTTAATTATCTAATACCTATATTGCTAATTATCTGAATTCTTAGTATATTTGAATTTGTTTTTAAATTATATGATTTGTAAATACTAGCCAAAGGTTTGATTTTTTTTTATCTAATATATTTGTTTTCCCCGTGAGAATAATTTTGTTTTTTCTAACAAAATTATGTAGTTCCTCATACTATTACACAGTTGTTTTAGCTAATCTTTTCGCCATAAAAAATTAAATAAAACTGAAAAATGAACTACAAAAAATTCTAACCTAATTGTTGTTTTTTTTTTTATTCAGAAAAACATGAAAAACCTCATTTTAGTCATTTTTAGAAATGAAGTGAAGTTAGGTACATTTTGTGCGCACGCGCAATAACGCAAATAAATACTTTCTTCCATTCATAACAGCCAGCTCAACATCTTCTGTTATCGACTACTTCAATCATACGGATATGACACCTACTGTTATTTCATACGTTATCTGTTCCCTGTTAGCATAACATAACAGATTCGTGTTAAACTTAACGTAAACGTTCAATCATAGGACCCATTATGTTACTATTAACAAAATATTTATATTGTTGTACTATGGGGATGATATTGTTCAACTTGGTGATTAATAGCATAATAGAATTATTCTTTTGATTCGCTTGAAGAGAAATGTTTTTATTTTCAGTGATACGGAACTACTAGATGAATCATATTCGTTATATGGAGTAAAAATACCACCAACTGGATCAAGGATAACCTCTAGGTCACCATTTCCTGCACCTGCAACCGCCCCACCGTACGATGCAACACGGTAATATATTTATTTGTTAATTTTATAAAAATCTACATAGGCTTAACTAGCCTAATTATATGAAAACATTTTCAGATTTGGTTTATACAATTTTTACTAAATCCTACTATTAATTTCAAGAGTTGACACACTGACTAAAAATAGTGATAAAATAAAAACGATATTTAGGTTGTGTCACATTTTTAGATCGATTTGATTTTTGTAAAAGAAAACATATTTTAGATATATGTCCAGCAACGGAAGGGTATTATTTTGATAATTCTGTCATTTTCCTTTTTACAGGCAGTAGATATAAACTTATTTTAAATGAGATATTTTTATTACAGATTCCGACAGAACATGAAATTTTAGTGTAACATTGTATAATAAAGTATGTAGCTAAAATTTGTATTTTAGAAAAAAAAAAGACTATTGCACGTATTAAAATAATATTTATTTTTGCTAATTTTTATTAAAATTTAAAAGGTTTTTTTTTCAATTATGATAAAAAAGGTACATGATTTTAAAAGACTGTAGACTGTAGATTGTTTCTGACTACGAAGCTTTAGCTGGCTTTGGAAAGCCCGTTTAAAATACTGCTGGAAATATTTTATCTCGAAAACTTGGACAAAATATTAATAACTGGGTTCTTTTTGATGAAGTAACTGTAAAACGGTTGCTGCCTGTCCTCGCAGCGACACTATCATGAAGCCGCCATCTCTTTCTCGGTCTAACTATTGGCTCTAGCTGCAGCTTTAAATTGGAGTCAATACGTGCCTCATGTTGGTTCGGCTATAAATGAGAAAAAGGTTGTGTTTGAAGTTTATCTGTTGCTTGAGAAAGCTAAGCTACGAATTCTTCTTTCCAATTCAACTAGTTTAGTTCTAATTTGCCTTTCTAACTCTACTCTAGCCGTTTCTTGTTGTTTTAAATTAGATTTTAAATTGTCTTGTTGTTGTGCTAAGAGATCAATTCGATTGTTTAGTTGACCTATCTCTTGTTTAAGGTTTTCTTGAATTTGCAGCAAACCATTCATAATTTCTGTCATAGCTTTTCTATGCCTCTCCTCCTTCTCCTCTTTTCGCATATCCCTTTTTTATTTTTCTTCCTTCCTACGTCTTTCTTTTTCTTCCTCTTCTTTCTTTCTACGCCTTTCCTTTTCCTCTTAATTCCAATTAATATAAAAAAATTTAAATCTACTTCCGCTATAAGCGGAAATGACCAAACTGTAAAAATATTTTATATGGAAAGATTATAACTAACCTATTTTTACTGATTTTTAACAAAATCTATTTATTGGTTTTTCGCTGTATATATAGAGTTTGTATTAATCATCAGGTACCCAATTGGAAATTTCAGTTCGAAACAAACTGTTACCATTATACGGAATACTTTTATAGCCCCATTGGTTTTCTACTATATATTTATATAAAACATCCCTTTGGTTTTTATTTTTAGGTTGCGAGTCGAAAATATGGAACGCCAATTAGCAAATTTAACAGGTTTAGTTCAAAAAGCATTGACACAACCGACTCCAGCTCATTTACAAGTTCCTGGACGGGAAGGCTACAGAGGTATTTGTTTGAAATAAATTTTTTTTTAGATCTGTTGTGCTTGTTTGTGATTGTCAGATGCACTGTTCATCTTCGTCATTAGGTTTGATATCATTTAGAAATTTAGAAGTTTTTCACATATATCATTTCAGGAAGAGACTTAAGAATTTTAATTAAACAGTTTTAATATTTAGTTATAAAGCGCTCTTTACACGTTTTAATTTCTTCGTAAAGAAATTGACCAATTCATGAATTTCTCCACGATGAAAATGATTTTACATTTATCAATTAGGCATTCAAAACAAATGAGACGCGTTGCTAAGGTTTGGTAGCTCTAAAGGGTTGCGACATACGATGTAGTTTATCTACAATTCTTGAAATCATAAATATGGATTAACTTATAAAATATTTTATGTCGAAAACAATGAAAGTAATATTTTAAAAAACCGCTTATACATTTGCTATAAATTGGCAGGCTTGGCGACTACTATATCAAATAAAAATAGCGTCCAAGATGAAAGGCTATGTCGCAATTCCCTTAGATCACATACTTTGATTTTCTTTTACTATACGAAGAATGATCGCACTGCGCAGCTTTCTGAGTGCCTTTTAAAAGGAGATAGAAAACTCCGCCATTTTGATCCCTTATTACGTGTTACATCTTGGCGCAATATTTTTAATAGGTGAGTTTTAATCATTCGCTTCTGCTTGAGAATTGTCGGTTTTCTTGTTTTAATCTTACAGGTTAAAACGACTAAACCGACAACTCCGGAAGCAGAAGCGGATGATTAAAACGCACCTGATATTTTGCTTGCTGCTGTCAGTGTCAGTGAATATTATTTTTGGAGTCACAGTTTATTGCTAAAGAATCAGTTAGCTCACTCGGACCAGTTAAAAGTTCCAAAATAACATCCACTCCAGGGATACAAATTCAGGATACGCAGAAGACTACTGTTTTATTATAGGCGGTTGTCATATATTGTATTATCCGAGTTGCGCAGTGTATAAACTGGAACATTGAGATCAAAAGTGCTGACGCAGAGTGAGCGATCTGATAAACTGTGGCATAGGAATCAAAATGGCCGCGCCCTATGTTGGGCGTGTCGGACCTCTCTCTTGCACCGTATAGTAATCAAAGTATGTGCCTTAGATTTACGAGCCCCACATACAGTTCATCAAATTTCTAGAGGCTTTCGACGGCTAGACAGAGAAAGCACTACTGACAGGCATCCCGACGGACGCAATGAAAGTACACTCTGCGCATCAAGTATTTCACTATTTCATTCATACGTAAATGTCAGATGTAAATTTCGCTAAAACATTTCTTTTATTTTCGTTTGTTTTTTGCTCATTACAGTTTAATAGAACCTAAGTATGGAGTTTAATAGCAAATTAAGAGGCCGCGTGATTAACAGTCAATCTCGCGAAATAATAGCCAATGTTATAGAGTTTATGAGAAGAGAAGGAAACTTTAATTCACCTTCAATACCATTTAAAAATGTAAATTATCGTGTTGCTGCAGCCACAGGAGTATCTAAAAACACTGTCGTCCGCATTTCTGGAGAGAAAAAAAGAATCGATAACCGTGAGATATCGGAATTTTCATCACCAAGAAAAACCATTAAAAAACCAAAAACAGTTAATGATATAGATGAAGCTGCACAAGAATCAAATTTTATTTTTTTATTATTAGATAGCTATTTTTGTTTCTGAGTTGTGTTCATTTACAGGCTCAATTTTTTTCCGTTTCTCCTTTTTGATTTTATATGGGGTTTCAAGTTGTTTTTGACTTATTTCGACGTAAATCACAACAACACACTTTTTTAATAAAGCAAACAAGTGTTAAGAGGTATACGTACGTGTAAACTACAATTACAAAAAATTGATATGAAACCCATGGAACCACCAACAAAAATGTAAAGCTAGCTTCCGTACTAGAACATGGTGTCATTCGTCGAGATAATTTATCGTTTTGTTTAATAGATCAAGAAATGTAAATATTCCCCTGTTATTTTTTATAAAATTATAAGAGAAATAAATTTTTTTCTAAATAGTATAGTTTATTATTTTGTAGAAAAACAAAATTTCGAAAATTTTAGTAATGTTTCAGAAACAACCGTTATTAATAATAGGTACCATTTTCCTTAATAAGGTAGAAATAAAATATAAACTATTTCCACGATTTACAAAGGCCTACAAAAAAATATAGGTATTTTCCGCTATCCTATAAAATTTATATTTTCTGACTCAATTTCAAAAGGTTGAAGGAATTCCAAAACACCTTTTATGGCATAATAATTATTTTCAATTCTACATACTATCTTTAGCTGCTTTTAAAAACGTTCTAAGAAAGTCCAATCAGACCAATTTAATCCCTAAACTATTCCACACTTTTAAAATTTAATTACCTAAAAATATTAAAAACTATTTAAAATAACTTGTTTAGCAGACTGTACAATAGCTATCTTAGTCACACGTAGCGCGTTCTCTGTCTGGGCGTCGAACACCTCTAGAAATTTGATGAACTGTACTTTGATTTTCTTTGAGTGACGAGCCCTTTTCACTGACAGCTATTGTTTGACAGGTCGTTGGAATGCTTAAAAGTAAAGTTTTCTGCCATATATGTCAGGTTAACAAGGGTACCAATAGAACAATAAAAATACTAAATAAATGAGTAAAGTTAAACAACCGGTAGTATCGAGTAAAAAGGAAAGGAGGACAATCTCGTATGGTTGTTTATCTTTAAAAATGTCTACCCAAAAGTAATAAATAAGGTTTTAGACAGTTACCAGAATGGCGTTCGTGTACTAGATGAAATGATATAATTATATAGATTGCGGGTTGCTATTTAAGTAATAAAGAGATAGATACATGTTATTTTATTAATTATTAGAGAATTGAAATTGAAAGTGGTTGAATGTCGTCAAGAGTATGTTCTTGAAAATCATTACAATAGTGGTTAGGAAAATAATTCCAACTTAGAGGTGGCCTTGTAAAATAAAATAAATAAACACATAGCCATATTATGTCACAAAATAGGAACAATAGTTTCCCTTCAGAAAAAAACTACTTCCTTGGCTAATACATGCAGGTATTGAATTACATCCAAAGGAAAGACAGCAGAGATATAAATTAAATTTCAACACTCTACCTTTGATTTTAGTCACTAAGGAGAACTTCATTCTTGGACCGGTTTCCTCCTTATTAGGAATCTTTAGGTGCATAGGTGCTGTATAGTTGCAGAATTGTCAAAAAAATGCAAGTATCTCATCTACATTTCACGAAAATTATTTTAGATATTCTAAAATATACGTAAAATAATTTTTTTGGATAATCTCATTTACTCTAATTTAATTTTAATTATTAAATAGTATCCATAGCGCGCGAACGTATCCTACTGTCAGTTCATAGCTGAAAATAAGTGCAAATCGGACCAGTGCAAAATTTAAAAAAGCTCGTTAGGTCATATTCGTCTCTTAGCTGGGTCGCTTCGGACAGTCTGTGCGCAGCTTGGGCCACCCGCGCTCGTCGCCTCATCTCTCGCGGCTCTCTAAAAAAGTAACGCCGAGACACATAGTATTTGGGCTGCATTTTTGTCAGATCTGCGAGCTCTGACTATAGTCTATCACACATGTGATTCGATTTCGGTAGAACACGGATAGGGTTACTAATAATAGAAATTATAATATTTCTGATCTTAGTAAGTTTCCGAAAATGCCTAATGGTTTTATCGCCTGTAGAAACAAACCTAATAAAAACAAAATTATCCAACATAACGACATTCTATTTAGTATTTATGTTGGTACTTCTGAACTTTAAGGTAAAATTGCATGAAAAATTAAACCTGTTCTATTTATCGTGAAGAGATTCATGAATTGATTTACAGTTTATCTTTACATCTATCAGTTTTTTCATGAAGTGACTTCATTAATTCGTGAAGAAATTGTATTGTCATTTGTAAAGAATGTATGAAAGATAACCAAAAAATAATATGAACGAAATCAGTTTTAAAGTGAAAATGTATTTATCCGATTTCTACAAAAATATGTTATGAAAAATCTGGTTTAAGTCTGGTTTTATGCACTCAGTTTGTAAACATCTGTTCAAAAATGGACGTTTCTAGTTTTATTAAAATAAATATTTCATTTACGGACATTTTCGGTATTTAAAACGTACGTTTTAAAATAAACATCTTATGCAAACGTGCGTTTGTACTGCGTCGACTGCGTCGACAGATGGACCAAGAACGCAGTGGTGAATGTATGTCCTTGGAAACGACAAACGACATTTCTACTTTAACTCCAACACTGTTAAAATTGTACGTATTTCAATAGTCGGAAACCAGTCCAGGTATTGATAGTAGTGTAGACGGTGAATGCAATAACAATGCAATAAAAACGTATGACCGACGTAGGTCCAAAAATCGTCCATTGTCAAACCGTTCGCAAACTGAGTGCATAAAACCAACCAGTAAAATTATCTTATCACTTACTAGATTTTATGTACTGCGTTTGGAAACGTTCATTCGAAAACGATCTATGTAGACTTGCGTCGGTCATACGTTTCACTGCGTTCATTAAAGTCCGTTCGCTCTGAACGCATAATGATATTTTGGTCATTGCGTTTTCCCAAAGTCGGCATGTGGGGAGGGGTGTGGGACCACAGTTGTGCAACATTTGTTGAAGAGGATGGATATGTTATTGTACAAAATACCTTGCCAAAAAGACGTTGGATAGTTCATCTAATAAACAGTCTGAGATTTTAAAGTAGTTTTTCACACCTTTTCAAGATCTACAAGAAGACACCGATAAGTTTAACAATTAGTTTAGATAATCGGTAATTTGAGAAACACCATAAGTCAGAAATGTAAAGTTTGAGAAATTAAAAAAGACTTTCTTAAATCGTGTGTGGGTGTGATTTTTTTTTTCTAAAATTGAGAGATTGGTTTACTATTTGATAGTATCAAACCAACTTGTGCTTTTTTTTTTTTTCTAAAGAGTCTAAAATATTTTTTTAAAAAT